CAGCATCATTATCTCTCTAGACTTGAATTTTAAGTTATTCTGTTGGTGAAATATTCAGTATTCAGAGTATGCAGTTAAAAAAATACAGTATGATTGATGGGACAATGTTTTGGATGGTGCACTGGTCAGGGCTGGATAATTGATGGAAGCTGTGTAATATAAAATCCCTTGTGCTGTACACATCATAGGTCTGAAAAAGATGTCAGCATGAACATCTTGTTAGGTACCAAGTATGATATAAAGATAGGTCAGAATAGACAGGATGTCAGAATGTATGTCTTGTCAGGTATCCAATGTGATATAAAGATAGGTCAGAATAGACAGGATGGCAGAATGTATGTCTTGTCATGTACCCTGTGTGATATAAACATAGGTCAGTATAGACAGGATGGCAGAATGTATGTCTTGTCAGGTACCCTGTGTGATATAAACACAGGTCAGAATAGACAGAATGTCAGAATGTATGTCTTGTTAGGTACCTAGTGTGATATAAACACAGGTCGGAATTGACAGAATGTTAGAATGTATGTCTTGTTAGGTACCCAGTGTGATATAAACACAGGCCAGAATAGACAGGATGTCAGAAATATGTCTTGTCAAGTACCCAGTGTGTAGACAGGATGTCAGAAACACAGGTACCCTGTGTGATATAAACACAGGTCAGAATAGACAGAATGTATGTCTTGTTAGGTACCTAGTGTGATATAAACACAGGCCGGAATAGACAGAATGTTAGAATGTATGTCTTGTTAGGTACCCAGTGTGATATAAACACAGGCCAGAATAGACAGGATGTCAGAAATATGTCTTGTCAAGTACCCAGTGCGACAGAAACATAGGCCGGAATAGACAGGATGTCAGAATGTATGTCTTGTCAGGTACCCTGTGTGATATAAACACAGGTCAGAATAGACAGGATGTCAGAATGTAAGACTTGTTAGGTACCTAGTGTGATATAAACACATATCAGAATAGACAGGATGTCAGAATGTACAGGTCCAATAACTGAACTTACCCTGTGTGCTATATGAATTATAGATCTGAAAGGTCATAATATGTATGTCTGTGTGCAACACGAATAGGTTTGAATATATACAGAAATACACAGATCTTGTAAGGTATCCTAAGGTGTGCAATACACTTCATAGATCTGAAAATAACAAGATTTCATCTAAACACATTGTTCTAAATAGACACAGAGTGCACAGGCTATAGATAGACACAGAGTGTACAGGCTATAAATAGACACAGAGTGTACAGGCTATAGATAGACACAGAGTGTACAGGCTATAAATAGACACAGAGTGTACAGGCTATAGATAGACACAGAGTGTACAGGCTATAGATAGACACAGAGTGTACAGGCTATAAATAGACACAGAGTGTACAGGCTATAGATAGACACAGAGTGTACAGGCTATAAATAGACACAGAGTGTACAGGCTATATAAGATACCTGTGTATTTATACACATTGGTCTTAATAAATGCTGTCAGAATGTAAATGTCTATAAGGTACCCTGTACAAGTGCTGATATTAGACAGTTCCGATTAAAAGTGGGATCTATTTAGAAGTGAAACCCTATGTATGAAAATTTTGGGTTGGACAGTGTGTTGATGTTCTAAGCACTTTACTTGAATTTTGAGAGAAATTAGATGATGTTGAGATTTGTTTTAGATTTTTTATGTCATCAGACCTGAAAGGTCATGATGACCTATAGTTATTGTCCTTTGTTCATCATTGTCTGCTGTATGCCGTCCACTGTGCATAAACTTTTGACATTTTAAACTTCTTCTCAAATGATCCTAAGATGGTCCTGAACAAGTGCTGTTATTTTTCAGGTATGTCTGAAATCCAAGATGGCTGCCATGGCTGTCATCTTGAAAAAAATATTTTGATCTTCTTCAGTTCTACTGGTGCCATTGAGCTAACAATTGGTGAAAATGTTAAGGAAAGGTAGCCAACAAAGTGTTGTGATTTTTTTTCGACCTTTTCAAAACTTTGACACAGCAGCCAGGGAGGCCAATATGTAGCATGATTGCACAGTCATGGTTTTCCTGTGCAACACTTATTTCAAACTTTTTCTCAAGTTTCACTAGTGGGATTGAGCTCCAACTTTACTGTCAAAAAATAGGCAACCAACTCCTCACCATAAATACCATCTGCATCATGGAAAACAGCTTCTTAGTAAGATTTCATTGTCTTGTTGTCTTGTATTTGGAAACAAACTGGCTTAAAATCAAGTATTATTTTAAATTTAAGATGAAATTTTTGGCTTGGAGATGACCAATTTAGAGATTGTATGCTATTTGTATTTTGGATGACTTATTGAAGTTATGATATTGTGATTGTAATGAACAATGCAGCTATATTTTTAAGGTTACTGGAGACATATAATAGATCTGTTTCTTACCTGTGATATATATACCGATGGCAAACAATATATAACTTCTGATGTCTATGCTATGTTTGATTATTTGCTCGATTTATTGTCACATAAACAACCAGTCTTTTTAGGCAATGACTCCTTGTAGCCATTGCCTGCCTCACTGAGCAACATAAGGGAGGCCCATTGCATGTCATCCAGAGCAGTTAGGTAGAAGTATTTTGCCCAAAGACACAAACATGTCAGTACAAATTGTTCTGTTACCTGGGAAACACAAACTGCAACATGTTAGGAAGCATTGAACCACACACCTGTAGTCATCACCTGATTCTGCCTTCTCTTTTGTCTCTAGTAAATAAATTTTGAATATAAATATATATCATCCATAATAATAATTCCCTGTGGTTATGTTTGTTTTACTCCAGTTTTCCATTAATTTGCACTAGTCCTGACTGACAATATGTAATGGTAACTTTCTGTACTGTATCATGTTGACATAGGAACTATACAAGTAATTTGCTTCAGAAATTACAAATGATTTAATTGGACAAGTATGAATCCTAGTGATTTATGAATAAACTTTTTTCTGTGCCATTTCAGTAGTCCTAAATATGCTCACACTGGTGGATTTTCCACTTGGAATGAAAAGGAAAATATATAAAAAAATGTTTTTCTGTGAATTAAGTGGATTTTTGGATTAATGCCTGTGAGAAAAGATAGGGGTCTAACAGAGGTGACTACCATGTCAGGACAATGTTTTATGGGGGTATTTATCAATGTATACAGACAACAGCTTAATAGGGATGTATCTCTCGGGGCAGAGTTAAAAATATGAACTGGTTTATGATGTTTTAAACCACATTTCTAAGGTCTGTCTGCAGATACTGGTGTTGTGTAATAGCCCTGTAACTATCTCTTCTCTCTGTTCCTCAACCATTCTTTCGGTGTTATGCATTGCACTTGTACAAATAGTCTACCAGCTGTTTTGAAAAGGCTGCTTAATATTTAATTTAGACTCATGCAATCTAATGCAATTATGATGGAAAAACTTGCTGGAATTATTAAAAGTTCAGAGCTTTTCTATGTGGTGGTAATTGTTAAATTAATGTAAAAAAAAAAATCAACGCCTTCCTTTAAAAGATTAAAGCATTTGCTTTTAACCTGGAGTACAGCATATTGTATTTAACATTTCTAAGTATGATTTACCTTAGTTGAATTAAGATATATTATCACTTCATTTGTGGATAAAGCAAGTGAATTGGATGATATCAGTTTTTGTCAATGTGTTGTTCTTAAAACATTATCAGATTTTTTTTTTTTTTTGGATAAGCAGTAGATTGAAATCAAAATCAACACAGGTAAATCTGAATGTGTTAAGTCTCATACAAGGAAATTGGAAATGATAACCAAAGCAAGATGTATAGGGAAAATTGTAAACTGTTTTTTTAATAGATAAGGCTGAATTTTAAAGAAAATGTTAGTTATTATTTTCAAAATCGATGAAATAAAATTGACCTACATCATCATCATTACAATGATTTGAAATCTTCAGATATCATATATACATATGTTTAGTATGTAAAAATGATGTGAAACCCTTATTTTAGATAAATTCAGCAAAGCAAGTGAAAGTTGTTATGTTCGGTAACAAGTTAGTACACAAGTTGTTTAACTAGTCTTGGTTAAGGATCAGTGGAAGAAGAAAAACAGTTCATAGGCTTGCCTATGTTCAAGATGGTAATGAGAAAGTCAACCAAAGGCAAAGTGAACAAATAATTAATTATTTTAATATGTCACTTCAAGACAGCAATTGTTATTAAGGAAATTATTTTATGACTAAATTTTAATTTTAATTACTAAATGAGAGACACAAAACAAGAATCCATGCCTTGTTTTAGAGAAGCTGGAATGGAAGACTATCAGGGTCGTTGATCTAGGGTGATTTGTTTATGTGATGTTCGTAGTTCATTAGGCCATACTGATAGACATAGGCAGCATTGAGTGCATTAGGAACAAGGCTGCATTGTAAAGGGGCTCCAATGTATTATACAGGGAGAAGATTCCAAGGATGGGATTCTGATATAATCACATGTAATAAAAAGCAAACAATGACAATATATTAAATTAGATTTATGAAAATCAGTTTGGTTTGTGTATCAGTACCTATTTCTGTTTTTTTTCTTTTCTTTATGGGAACGGGAGTAGGGGTGGGGAAGGAGGTGGGAATGTAGAGGAGGAGAGGCAAGAACATTCTATTCTCCCTATGTTTTAGTTCCCTAAAAATGAATATGAATGAGTTTTCTACTTGTTTCAGTATGTTCAGAGTTCTGGAGTTTCCATTCAGTGTTCAGATGTTTTCCTTCAAGGAAATCTGTATTAAAAAGAAGAAAAAAATTAGAATCATGGCATTGCATTGAACTTCATGATGAAAATGAAAATATTTCAAGATTTTTTTTTTCTCCTAAAAAAGTAAAAATTTACTCCCATAAAACAAGATGTCTTGACAAAAAATTGAATATACAAGTGATGTTTGAAATGTGGATTCTTGGTATTTTGATATTTAATTAATATGACATAATTATTGTTGAACTTATTTCTATATTTTGTTTTTCAGTCGAAACCAGCTGTCCATGATCCCTGCCTTTATATCCCAGCTTCACCAACTAGAAGTCCTGATTGCTAGTCACAACAAGCTGGTTTCTCTTCCTGAGGAGATTGGTGTTCTGGACAAACTCATGGAAATAGTAAGTTACTGTAGCTATAAAGGTAACGCCTCATAGTGCTTTTGTTGATACAGAGTGGTTGAGAAATGAATGTTATGTTTGTTCTGAAGAATAGTACTTGTTGCCCACATGTTTCATTGTATTCTGAAGAAAATTTCTTGATGTGTCAACCTGACTTGATGAGGAAACATGCTTCAACGCCTCAGTTCTTTTGGACCAAATGCTTTCATCAATCATCGGCAAATTTGTGACCGAGTTTAAATGAAGTCTGAACCAAACAATTCAGACTTTTTATCACTCACATTGAATGAACCAATCATTAAGGACATTTGAATTCATGCACAGTAAACCAACAAGTGTATAATTGAGGTATGAGAACTTGTAGATGAAGTGACTTGATATCTTGTGTATCATTTAAATATTTTATTAATTCTTAATCAATACAGTGTAAAAATCAGATCTTATACGTTTTCCTTGTGGATACAGACTAAAAATCAGCCGTTAGCAGGATTGCTTCAAGACATGCTGGGTAGACCTAATTGGTCAGTGAACAGTTGTGAATGATAGCAACCATAGTTGAGAAAGCCTACAATCTTTGATCTGTTGGCTATCACACTCTACTGTAGTACTGTGGGTGATATAGGTAGACCATGAAGGAAAAAACATCACAACCATCATCTGCAACACAAGACATCATCCAGGTGTTACCTCAGGCTGCAGTCTCTCAGCAAGTGGTTTGAAGTGAACACCTGTGTTAATTAAGTATAATGTTCTTTTTTATCTACCTGCTGGAACATAAAAATCATAAAGTATGACTTTGAAAATTCACTACTTTGTTTGACACTGTCTGTTGTTTTCAGCTATGAATGAAATTCCTTTGTCAAAAAAATATTTTCTTTGCTGTGAAAAAGTGCCATTTTACATTGTTACAAATATGAAGGTTTACGATACTGATTTGAAATACTTTTCATCATTATCCTTTACATGTATCACCTATTTATCATAACTGTTCACGTAAAAAGATACTATGCTACAATTAGATGCCATTAAAAATCCAAGGAAATAAAGCATCTACAAAATAAGTGATTTTGAATATTTAGTGACTTTGAAAGCATGTGAAATAGATCAATAACTGGGTGGTATTAGTTAAAATAATTAAAGCTGTTTGACCTTCTGAAGCACTGAGCCTTTCAGACAACAGAAACAGTCATTACATTGCTGTACCTAATAAAGAATCAAGTATCAGTGAATGAAAAATCATATGATTGGAAAGGATTTGGCCATGCATTTCTAAGAGCCTTATCAAATAGTGTTGTAGCCCTTCCCTGTACGTTTTAGATTTAATTCCTTTTCACACGCATGAGTCAGATTTGTTGAAAGTACCAATGCATTTTATAAATAACAGTTAATATTTATCTTTATATCCCCGAGGCCTGAGTCTGTATGGTGGCAGACAGAAATGTAGTTCACTGAAAATCTGTTGAAAATCAAACGGCCTTGCTATATATTGGTGTAACAACAATTTTGTAAATGAGAAACAGTAATTTGATTGTATGAGTCAAACACTTGTACACTTTCCAGGCCTCCCATACACTCTGCCTGCCTGTACACCACGTGGAGTTCAGGTTGAATCTGTTGAAATTAAGACATTCCATTCTGCCAACATTTGCTGTGAGAGGCTGTTACAGCATGTTAGAAACACTTGATACTCTAGTACCAAACATCATTATTCTTTCCTAGTGTAGTTAGCTTGACTACAACTGCAACAAAACTCAGATTTATTCATTCATTTTCTCAATTTCTCACTTCAGTTATGATTTATGATATCCATATAGTCAATGTTGAATTTCTTTTGATATTGAATGAAGATGAAATCTTCAAGCTGAGATATATGTGACTGGAAAGAATTTGAGCTGAAGCATACCTTCCAGGTTGTTTACATGTGATAGGCAGGTAAGCATCTGACATGCACCAGTGTCTGCACACACAGGCTTGTCAGGTGCTTTGTATGACAACTTAATTACCTTCCCTGCATCAGAACACTTGACAGACCCGATCTTATTGATTGTTACAGTGGAATGAAGCTTTCTTGGCATTTCTGTGGTGAAAAATTACTCATATTTTGTGTACTCAAAAAGCCCTAAAAAGTTTCAATCCTTTGATTGAAAATTTTGACAATGATATATAATGGAATATGATATACACTATTTGAATAAAAAAAATATTGAAAACAAGTATTAACTTTGATTAAGATGCTGGATTGTTTTATTAATAGCATATTAACCTGATATTTATTGGAAGTTTGTGAAGTTTGAAGTGAAACTGTCATACTTGTTAGGATTTTGTAAATTGTGACAGGGAGAGGATGATGAAACAGTATAAAGGTTATGGCATTTCAGTGTGATGACACCATAATTTTAACATGCTCTTGATAGGAAACATTGTCCATAGACACTGTCCTTATCACCTTGGCCAAATCCAAAATAAGGAATTTATTTCATTTGTTGGAAAATTGAATTGAAAGCTAAAAATTATCAACATATAACACAAAATAAAACCGAACTAAGGAATTAGTAAATTGATTTTATCATATCTCAGTTAAAAATTGATGCTGGTGATCAATAATTTGGGTCTCGAAATTAGATTTTTACTTTGGATATAGACATATGACTGTATAAGACTGAGGCATCTTGTCTCTTAACGTGAATTTCACATTTTCTAATTACATTACAGGGGAGATAATGATTGTGAAAGGTGACACCAGAAGTAGTGAGATAGGTTGTAATTGGTAATTACTACAGTTCTCCATCACTACAGTCTGGGATGTTGCACAAAGCATGACTTAGGACAGAGTAATGATAATACAAAATATTTAAATGAGTCTGACTAGGACAATGTGGTGTGTCACTGGTGCTTCCTGTGATTATATGAAGTGTTTAGTGTTCCTTCACATACCAGATAGTAAGAAACAAATTGTTAAGTTGTTAAGGACAGCTACCAACATGTTATTAAGAATGATAACCTGCAGGCAAATATTAAAAAATTCCATAAACCATATGTATATGAAATATATAGATATTGAACATTATTGTAGCACTGACATAAAATCTGTTCTAAATTAGGAACCTGTAATTGTATACCCACTCATCTAAACTAGATATAACAGTATTTAAGAAAACAGTCATTAAAAAAAGATTCTATGCTTAAACAGTTTCTATAGATGGAGAACTGTGGATTTATGTTTCATTATGACTGTGGCATGTTGTTCTTAATAGTATCTCGGCTTGTGACCTGCTAAATCTATCAATAAGTAAAACTGGTTGTAGTTGAATTTATAACATTTTGCAAGTTTATATTGCATAAATTGATGCAGCAGCGGATTGAATATGTATTAAAATTGTTTTTACAATTATGAAAGGTAACATAACAGTGATTATTTCTTAAATATCAAATGACAAATTTTGTCTTTTCAGGACGTGAGTTGTAATGAGATTTCGCACCTCCCTAACCAGATTGGAGACCTCAAATCTCTTCGCTCCCTTAATGTACGCCGCAACCTTTTAATTGAATTACCAATAGGTAAGTGTGTCCAGTCATAAGGAATGGTTAGTAAAGTAGATTTTGGAATCTTTTGTCACCAGTTTGTTGATTGACCTGTTAAAAGTGATTAGACATAGTGTAAAATTTACTTGAGATTTGATAAATCATTCTTTTTTTATTTCAGTTGTTGTAGAATCTTTGAACTTTCTTTTGTGTGTACAACTTGTAATTTCTTTGGCAGAGCTACATTCTAAATATGTTTTTATTTTAACTTATTACTTCATATATATATTAATTTCTTGTTTTCTTGTCGTTTCAGAAATATGTAAATTAAATCTTCGAAAGCTGGACTTTTCAAGTAATAAAATCTCCAAGATACCAACATCATTTCGAAAAATAGAAACATTAGAAGAAATATGCCTTGAAAACAATCCATTAACCCAGCCGCCTGCCCATGTAAGTCTTCTAGCGATCAAAATTTGAGTTCCAAGTTTATAGGTTCAAGGTCACCATTACTGTATTTAGAAAGTCATTGTCAACGCTCATTAGTTTCATTTCTTCAGGGATTTTGATAAAACATTCACATTCTTCTAAAATCTGATGAGTTAGAGGTTTTTGGTTGTAGATTAAAGGTCAGCACTTGTTCATTCTATTTTCGTAGGATGTAAAGAAGCCTTTGTTCTATGCACTCGTTTTCCAACTTAATTGTTTTATGTGATTAATGAATATTATTCTTGAAAGGTTAATGAGAAAGAGTTGGTTAAATTAAGTTTCGAAGTCAGTCAAGACTGTATCTAAATCAGAATTTAACACATGAAAAATGAAATCATATTGAGTTGGTTAATTACTCATAAAAACCTATACTGTTTACCACTTGAGAAATACTAGCCTTACTTGATCATGTGAAAAACCTCAGCTCTGTGATATTCATGCTTTGTGTGAAATTGTTTGAAAACTTAAAAGATTCACCAGCAATTGGAAATATTGATATTTCATTATAAAGTTCACCAGCAATAGGAAATATTGATATTTCATTATAAAGTTCACCAGCAATAGGAAATATTGATATTTCATTATAAAGTTCACCAGCAATAGGAAATATTGATATTTCATTATAAAGTTCACCAGCAATAGGAAATGTTGATATTTCATTATAAAGTTCACCAGCAATAGGAAATATTAATATTTCATTATAAAGTTCACCAGCAATAGGAAATATTGATATTTCAATATATAGCTCATGGACAATTGGAAATATTGATATTTCATAATGAAGTTCTCTGACAATTTGAAATATTTATATTTTGTTCCCTGGATTGGTTGAAAAGTTAAAGATTTTACACATGAATAAAATCATTCGAAATAAGAGGATAGGGTCATTTTTTGTTTTCAGTGGAAGCAGCCAAATTGTTATTGATAGCTCTATAAAACCTGTTTAATGTGCACATTACCTTGTTAATTTTGTGTTTTTGACAGGTGTGTACAAAAGGTAAACAACACATCATGAAGTTTCTTCAGATTGAGGCTATTCGAGAGGAAAGGAAGAGAGGTGTCATGAACGACGCGGAAATGAAACGCCTAAGAAAATCTCTACCACCACAGCAGTCTATGTACGTATTCTTTTCATCAAGTTACAATGAACCATCACGTGACAAAAAGTACTAAACTTAATCTCTGTGTAGATGAATTTGGTAGAATTCTATTGATCACATGTCTTTTACATAAAACTTCCCTGTCTTGAGATTCCTCAGTCAGATATGTCACAAGTAGAAGGCGTAACTCTTCCCCTGTTGTGGATAGCAGTTTACAATATCACTTACATATGGTGGTGACGATTACTTGTTTTACTTCTGTTTTAGTTTTATATACAAGGAGTTTTGAAAGGGATTTTTGGGGCCGATAAGGGTTTCCATTCAAATATGCTCCCAAAAATATCCTTTTGAAGTCACCAGTTTTCTCCCCAAAATGAGGCAAAAAAACTTAGCATGATTGTTTTTCCCTCTGCTGATCATGTTCCACTTAAATGTGTGATCAGGTACCTATTGATTGGACAGGTATACAGAAAAAGGTAAATTGCAGTAAATTGTAATGTCAGTATTAAAAATGCTTAACTTCAGAAAGTCCTGTCTAGCTAACAATTTTGAACAGTTTTGGACATATCGACTTACTTAAATATTAACAGGAAAACATGCTAAATCAGTTAATAAAGGATATTAAAAATAACAAATAACAGATAAGCAGTCATGAATTATATTTTAAAAACAATTTCTTTGGGTTGGTAAGAAACTTTTACACTACAGCCAATACGAAATCTGATGTAAAATGGGTTGTGATATAAAAACCTCTATGATATACACTCATTAATGAGTACAAATGAGAACTAGCACGGGATTAACACATGGTTGATCAAACCTAGTAGAATAAACTATTGTCATTAATTGTAAATTCCTCTTTTGACGTGATGTTTTTTTTTAAAGCTGATGTGTTAAGAACTACCATCAGTATTCACTGTTTTCAATGTCATCAGGTAGATATTTGTTTTACACATAATGGAAATTTTAAGGCAATTTAAGACAAAAATCTGGAAATTCAAAATTCAAATTTCATTTTGCAGACAGTCACCTTTAAACCTCTTTATATTAATAAAGTGTAGGAATAATGGAAATTTTAAAACATTTTGAAAAAAATCCCTGAAAATTATAGATTCAAATTTCATTTTACAGTCCTTTAACTCTCTCAGTATTAAGGAAATGTAAGAAATAGATATATTGTTTCCATGAATATGTCTAACCTAGGCTGTGTACTTTTTAAAAATGTCTGAGATATTTATACAACTACAGATCATCTGAGGAATTCCGTAATATGATGGAGTCACCGGAGAATAAAGCATGGAAACGACACACAGTCCTGAGTAGTGATTCTGGCTACAGCACAACTGACAGCATAGAGAAATGTGGTTGGTCAACATCAGAGGTAGGTGGAGCAAGCACCTGTCACATGACCCTCACTTACTCTGTCCTCATTTTTAGATGTGAACGCTGTAATGTACACCTAGCTTAGGACCATGTTCCATACCTGATCTCTCATTGTTGAATAATGAAACACTCTTTAAAAATTTACAAGTTTTAGAGCGAGTTGCAAAAAGTCTTAGTTACTCTTCCATGATGTCTGAATTACAGTGGTTTAATTGCCAGTTTTGCATGCAAGCAAATCTAGAGGCCTTTTTCAAAGATTTGTGCCTTGAAATTAAGCACAAAAATTTGTGTTTGTGTGTGATATATGTCAAAGCTATAACAGAGAATACTGTTTTGATATGGACACTGATTAGTTTTCCTGTATTTCATTGATTCATCATAGACAAACAAATTAATGTGATGTTACTGAATCATGATGTGACAACTGTGTGATACTGAGTAATGACAGGACGAAGATAAAACAACCATAATATGAATATATAGGATACCCATGGACTCAGTGCAGGAAGTACTTCAACCAAATTCAAGAATCCTTTACCACATTATAAAAAGGCTATTTCAGATTTCAGTTTGTCATAAGAAAGTTTTGATAAAATTTGCTTGTCAGGTGTTTCTTCTCAACATTAAGAGGTCATGGAAACAATTCAGTTCATCATTTTATTTCATCATTTATCCTGAATCTCAGTGTGTAGTTAGATAATATTTATATTTTCCCTATATTTAAGTGTTCTTGTTTTCTGTTTTATTCAGCATCACATATATACATGTATATATGACATCTGGTGATAGGTTATATATATGCTACATACATGTACATAATTTTTCTATTCTACAGTATTGGAATTATGTAAAGAATGTGTTATGTTTATTTAAATTTTCATTTCTAGGCTAGTGAAAATGATATTTTATGACATATTGAAAAATTAATATATACCATAATTATACTCCAATATGTATTCAGAGGTGTACAATTTCAAATTTTGGAATGCATTTGTAGCTTAACTTTTTACAAAATCTATTGGATTAACATTATCCAGAAGAAATTTTGCAATATTTTCGCAAACGTTGGAAAAAATTTGTTAGCTGGAAGTTTTTGAGGCATCAGTCTTCTGGAATTGTACACCTTTGGTATGGGGTATTATAGTCATGTAATTTTGATTTCAAGGTTTAGGATCTAGTCTTATCCTGTTCTTCATTTCCATAATATTAGTGGCAATTAATGATAGATTGTATATGTTATTCTAAATATATCATTTATCCTTTATAGAATTACTTCATTTTCATTTTGATTTATTAATTCATCTGCCCATGCCAGATTTTGTTAACCATTTTATTGATATTAAAAATAAGTAAGAAAATATTTTTGAGTTAAGCTTTTGTTACAAAATGAATCAAATGAAATTTTGGTTACTGAGAATAGATATATCTATATTGAATTTAACGTATGTTCATCCAACAAATGCTTGTTACTCAAAATCCAAAAAGAAAGAAGGTAATAAGAACGAAATCAATAAATTTGCTCAAGCAATTTTTAATCTATTAAGATGTTTTTTCCAAATTGAAATTTTTGAAATTCTATTAGATAAAACTTGAATTAGGCATTGTTACTACATATTTCTACTGAAGCCTGAGATTAGAAACCTGCAACAGAGCACAACTTGAGCATTCCTTGCGCTTTTGATGTCAATAACCAGAACTAATAAAGTGGAACCTGCTTGCTGCTGATATTGTCACAGTTACCAGACATGCACCATGTACACCAGGCTGTGAAAATCTGAAAAGTTTGGGCCATGATAAGCTAGCTTTATGTTTCGAAGCTACAGACGTTAACTAGTTTGAAAACTTAATTTACGTTATGGAAACATTAGAAAAATAATGTGAAATTTCATTACTTTGTTTGTCTCATCGTTTTCAAAAGATCACATGGTTCTTCTGTCAAAACCTCTACATTCAGATCAAGAAATGTTTCTACTTGTCAATAATTTCAGTTCATATCTGATTTATTTACAAATTTTGAACTTCAGCCTAAATCTGAGATGTTTTATCACCAAACAATTTGTGTTTAGATATCAGGTTACTTTACATTGGGAGGGTTAACAGATTGTACCTGCTGCTTGTCATGGTAACACTTGACAGGAATTATTGAGAGGTAGCCTTTACATAAAATCACGTTTTGTGGTCTTTTTCACGGATGGTTTCTTGTTTGGCATGTGGCAGGTGAATGTTTAATATATCTATATACAGGATTTTCTTCTCTAATGTGTGCATTTTGTAAATAATAATTATTCCACTACATGTATTAAGAATCTGAAGGAGGTAGATGTGCATGTATGTTCCTCTGTCACCACGACAACACAGCATCACCAGGTTTTACCTACCAGTTGACTTGATGATCTTTTTGTTCTGTTTATAAACGAGCAGACTATTAGACAATTTTTGACAAAAATGGCATATTTATAAAAAAAAAAAACCCAACTGTTTTTCCAGGTAATGATAAATATACTGAAAGAGAGGGTTTGAGCTTAATACAAGGATATTATATTTAATTCTTGTCTGTGGTGCTGCGTTGTGCTGTGTGGACCTGTTGTTTGGATGTGATTTTTGTCTAACTGTTGCATGCCCTTTTTTTTCTTTCTGTATTCCTTCTCTGGTCTTCCACCACTCAATGAATGGACGATCTTTCCATCGGGCTGGATACAAACTGCAGACAAATGGAGACATCAGCCACATGGAAGATGCGACTCATCTCTCGCTGAAAACGGCAGAGATGGTCCGAGAACAACGTCATGTGAGAGATTTGGAATATCGTCACCGGCCGCCTCCGCACGAACAGAGACTCCATCCTCCCCCTCCCCCGATTACATTAGTCCCACAAGCTGATCTACCCCCCAAGTCCCCAGTCCTGACCCCTAAAACTCCTACACCTCAGCATAACCAGCATCCCATGTATTCACAGGCCCCTCCCCCATGTAGCCCGGATGGCTACCAGTCCAGCAGTCCACAGCTGACCCCCGACACACCGGTCGCTATCCAAGCACAGGGCTTTGACGACCAGTTTTCCAGGGTCAGTACCCCAGCCTTCTTGTGTCTGTTTAATAGTCAAGATAGCAGTTGGATACAGAGTATAGGCCTCTGATTTAGTTGATAGTGTTGGCACTTTATAGTTTTGATTTATGTTTTATAGTGTAGATACCACAGAAATAGATGCGTTTCATTGTGTATGGTAGACATAATAGATATTTCACTATAGAATATGCCTGCAGACAATGAAATATGTGGAGTTTCTTGATACACTGTGTTTGATCAAATTCCAGATTAATTACTGTTGAGAAAATTAATTGGATGATCTGTTCGGACATTTTGATGTGCCTTTATCAAACTAAAGCTTTTTTTTTTACATTTCCTTAGCTTCAAGTAGGTAATGACAAATATAAGAGTCAATAACCCCAGTTTATAAAATGATCCAGACACAATAGGATATATATTATATAGAAGATAATATGATACATATTATATAAATATTCCAGAAATATATAAAGTACCATCAAAACTATATCAGTTTGATATAAAGACAATACTACTAATGAAAAGTTCATTCAAAATGAAGTAATGCGGATTTACTTCATTTATGACAAATATCCCCTTCAGGTAAGTTTAAAAAAATGATTATTTAATTTGATGTCTAAAATGTTAATGATACATGCTTTATTTGAAGCAATACAGAATAGTTCCCTATTTCGATTGTAGTTTAAAACATTTCATTTGAGCTAGTCCAAATCCCAAAACAGAAAACTATTTCATGTGACCTTTAAATAGAAATGTAATCTTACTACACATCATAGCAACGTGATACAAGATTGTGTAATCTAGTCCCGATAATGTCTCCATTAGAGACATAATTGGTCATTATGTGACACGGATAGGGTCTATGTAGGTATACAGAGTCTAAGTGTATGACCAACACTGCCAGATAGACAAGCTACAAGTTAAAGGGCACATCTGGGTTAACAGAACAATACAGCACCAATATACAGATGTGTTCTGTCAGAAAAAAATGCACATCACAGTTGTTGTCAGCACTTGTAGAATTTTGTTTAAATGTACAATATACAATGCATATGTAACTTAACCTATCAAGGGAGCACACAGTACTACTCTGGTTAATGGAGAGAAAAGACAAGTCAGCAAATTTATTGCATGTTTAAAATTTAAAAGTTTCCTTAAATTGCTTTCAGCTTTGAAATCATTACTTTTCAAGTATCAGTTTGGATGATAATGTGACAGCAAAGTGTGACAGCTAGAGCTGTACAGACCAATTGGCATATATCTATTATTCATTCAAGTCCCAAATGACTGGCGTTGCCTGAAATTTCATATCATTGGCATATAACTCAAGCCTGTGTGATTGTTTGAATAGAGCACCTGTACAATGTAGACGAAGTTTGAAAATATTCACTTTCCAATATGCTCTTCATACATTCGAATGAATTGAAGTTATCAACATTCAAACTTCTGCCTTTGATGGTTATACAGGTTGTAAATGTGTAACGAAAAGTTTTAATTATTTTTATGTAAAACATCAGTTTAATAATTGTAAAAATAATCTTGAAAATTGCTGCAAATTCACGTTTTATATATCTTTTGACAAAATGACAGAAAATTCTTGACAACAATATTACATATGCATACCACAACATTCTTTTGAGCACACTCTTAACAATTTATATTTTATTTGTCTTTTATTTGTCTTTTATTTAACTTTATCTATCAATCCACATTCCTGAACAACCAATTTTCTAATTGAGTTCTCTTTTCTTTATTTCACTTCATCTGAAGCAGTTTCCGATGCATGCCTTTTTTTATTTCTCTGATTATTCATGTTGTCAATTACTAACTGCTGCCACACCCACTTAAGCTGGCTTCTCCCCCTTTTAACAATATGCCCTGTCCCCTTTAACAAGTCCTTTGTTCTTGATACTATTGTTAAACATTGTGCAACAGTCTCTTGAATTTTGTCCTCCAAAAGAATGGCATGGTTTGAGCCCTTTTTCCCCATCTTAGATAGAATTTCAGTGTCATTTTGAATTGATAATGCTATTTTCAGTTGATCTATGATTGATAATTTTTTGAAGAAATTTAATTTTAATGTGTGTCATTAAGTAAATCTGATGCGTATTTCTGATATAATGGTGTGAAATAGTTCTTTGATTTAAAAAGAAAAAAAATTCATATCTTTGTTGAAAATTTTATCTCCCTAAGCCTTTCTCAATGTTATACTTTTACATTGCTCAAGCTCAGTCATTAATTCTTTATATAACTTGAAGTATTGGAAGTATTCAATAGAGTTACTGCTAAGACATAAAAATTGTTTGAAGGAATTCAGAAGAGAGAGAAGTATTGTAGGAAATTATCATGAAGTTGCTTCAAATTAGTAATCATTATTATTTACTCATATACTAAAATAACGAGGTTTATTTACATTAAATTCATATATATAATTACAGCTATCTTAATTGTATAATAGTATATTTCACATGTAGAATATCTGATAGTTCGGATATAGGACATCAGATCCTGTGGCATACTCCGCATGTTAACACGGTGTAGGTTTATGATCAATTGGCAAAATCAAAGAAAATTTAACAGTCCTTAACCACCCTTGGTGCATATTTGGTCCATATTTTAAATGTTGGCTTTCCAAAAGATCCCAGTATTATAGTAAATATTGGCTTGAATGTTTATATCAACACCATGTGAATTTTTAAGTAGAACCTATGACAACTAATTGCCAAATAATATCATACATAGGGAAAAATATTAGAAAAGATACAATCTAACACGCTATCTTAAAACTTGGGTACACCCTCCTCAACTCTCTCCCCCATTTTCCAAGTCTATCATTTTTCTTTTGATTCATTTCTTTGCTTTGCACCAACGTATTATAATTAGCACAAACAACACAATCTCTGAAGCACATTTTGCACTTTTCACAGAAATTATTCCCTATATAAAGCTCACTTATGATTTATAAATGTCTTTGTGGACAGGTATTCATCAGAGTGTTTCTTCACATTTACAAAATAGGATTTAAAAGGTGTTTTTTATGTGAACAATTAATATTCCACTTTTGTAACAGCTTCACAATAAATATAATATTCTTTTAAAAATACTAAGAAATGAATAATGTTTATTAAGATATTTAAGAAATAAAAAAAAACTGAAAAAATAAAAAGGTGGAGGGGAAAAACAGAAATGAAAAGTAGGGTAAGCAGCTTAATAAGTTATTTCCTCATATTTAGTGAGGTAAACTATTTTACCTTATTTATAGTGAGGTAAATAATTTCTCCATAATTAGTGAGGTAAACTATTTCTCGATATTCAGTGAGGTAAACTATTTCCCCATACTTAGTGAGGTAAACTGTTTTCCCATATTCAGTGAAGTTGTTTTGCATTTTCCAAAGACTGGCAAGTTCTAAACCACAGCTTATTTGTGTACCTTTAAACCTTGTTTACCATGAAGTTGTCTTTAAAGGTACTTGGTATAAAGGAGATTTTCACATCTGAATTAATTAAATTCACTACCACCAGGATTTTAAGTATATTGTGATATTCACATAGCTATAACTTTATATATTAACTATGTACACCTAAATTTCTTTTTTCTTTCTTATTTTCCTAAGTCTAATATACTTATGATAGAATAAAAAAATAGGATGTTTCATTTTGTTGAAGACATAAAAATGTATTTAAACTAAAATTTTATCGTATGATTTATAGGCAGAATTACAAACTGTTGTGTGATAAAAGTTTTAAGTTCAGTGTTACTGTTTAAAACTTTGACAGTTCAAAGTTTCCTCATCATAATTAAAAAACAATTTTAACATTTTGCTTCTGGAATCATTCTAGATACTTTGTAAAATATGTTTTAATGATGCTGGTATTTCTGTGTACCATGTATCTTGACTAGTTTCTTATGTTTTGTATGTCATAATATATCTTAACTATTATGTTTCTCCAGGAGCTGCAGCGTCAAAAATCAGACTATGAACGACGAAAGAAGATGGCAGAGCAGCTTCGAATGCAGCAAGAACAAGAGGATGAGAAAGAGCAGCGTAGACGTGCTGCCATCAAGCTGCAGGAGGAGCAGAGAGCACTGCTGGACAGACAGCGTGAAGAGATGCGAGCTCAAGAAGATGCAAGGTAATCTGATATTCTTTCTGAATAGTTGTGTTTGAATTGTTCACAAAATGGATGTTTTGCTTATAACATGTCCGTAAAATTTGCTAAAATACTGCTAAATATGGTTATCAAAGTAGACTCGAAATCTTTCTGTTAGGCATATTCAGCAGCCAGCTCTTTTACACCAAACACAATCAAAACATGCTTATATTTACGAGTGGTGGAATCAGGCTTATTTCCTGTTAAAGTTATACCTTATATCAGTGCTGGTATCATGGTATGTCCTGTAAAAGCTGTACCTTATATCAGTGCTGGTATCATGGTATGTCCTGTTAAAGCTGTACCTTATATCAGTGCTGGTATCATGGTATGTCCTGTTAAAGCTGTACCTTATATCAGTGCTGGTATCATGCTTATATCCTGTTAAAGCTTTACCTTATATCAGTGCTGGTATCATGGTATGTCCTGTTAAAGCTGTACCTTATATCAGTGCTGGTATCATGGTATGTCCTGTTAAAGCTGTACCTTATATCAGTGCTGGTATCATGGTATGTCCTGTTAAAGCTATACCTTATATCAGTGCTGGTATCATGGTATGTCCTGTTAAAGCTGTACCTTATATCAGTGCTGGTATCATGGTATGTCCTGTTAAAGCTGTACCTTATATCAGTGCTGGTATCATGCTTATATCCTGTTAAAGCTGTACCTTATATCAGTGCTGGTATCATGGTATGTCCTGTTAAAGTTGTACCTTATATCAGTGCTGGTATCATGGTATGTCCTGTTAAAGCTGTACTTGATATCAGTGCTGGTATCATGGTATGTCCTGTTAAAGCTGTACTTTATATCAGTGCTGGTATCATGGTATGCCCTGTTAAAGCTGTACCTGATATCAGTGCTGGTATCATGCTTATTTCCTGTTAAAGCTATACCTTATATCAGTGCTGGTATCATGGTATGTCCTGTTAAAGCTGTACCTTATATCAGTGCTGGTATCATGGTATGTCCTGTTAAAGCTGTACCTTATATCAGTGCTGGTATCATGCTTATATCCTGTTAAAGCTGTACCTTATATCAGTGCTGGTATCATGGTATGTCCTGTTAAAGCTGTACCTTATATCAGTGCTGGTATCATGGTATGTCCTGTTAAAGCTGTACTTGATATCAGTGCTGGTATCATGCTTATTTCCTGTTAAAGCTATACCTTATATCAGTGCTGGTATCATGGTATGTCCTGTTAAAGCTATACCTTATATCAGTGCTGGTATCATGGTATGTCCTGTTAAAGCTGTACCTTATATCAGTGCTGGTATCATGGTATGTCCTGTTAAAGCTGTACCTTATATCAGTGCTGGTATCATGGTATGTCCTGTTAAAGCTGTACTTTATATCAGTGCTGGTATCATGTGTATATCCTGTTAAAGCTGTACCTTATATCAGTGCTGGTATCATGGTATGTCCTGTTAAAGCTGTACTTTATATCAGTGCTGGTATCATGTGTATATCCTGTTAAAGCTGTACCTTATATCAGTGCTGGTATCATGCTTATGTCCTGTTAAAGCTGTACCTTATATCAGTGCTGGTATCATGGTATTTCCTGTTAAAGCTGTACCTTATATCAGTGCTGGTATCATGGTATGTCCTGTTAAAGCTGTACTTTATATCAGTGCTGGTATCATGTGTATATCCTGTTAAAGCTGTACCTTATATCAGTGCTGGTATCATGGTATGTCCTGTTAAAGCTGTACCTTATATCAGTGCTGGTATCATGTGTATATCCTGTTAAAGCTATACCTTATATCAGTGCTGGTATCATGCTTATTTCCTGTTAAAGCTATACCTTATATCAGTGCTGGTATCATGCTTATTTCCTGTTAAAGCTATACCTTATATCAGTGCTGGTATCATTGTATATCCTGTTAAAGCTGTACCTTATATCAGTGCTGGTATCATGCTTATTTCCTGTTAAAGCTGTACCTTATATCAGTGCTGGTATCATGCTTATTTCCTGTTAAAGCTATATCTTTCATCATACTGGTATCATGCTTATATCCTGTTTTTAGCCCTACCTTTCATCATGCTGGTATCTGTATCATGGTTTTTCCAGCCAAAGACCTAGATATATTCTTTCTCAAAGATTTGTTCATAACATGATGCAATAAAAAATGACCGTACAATCAGGATATGACCACAATGAAATGTACAAAAGAAATCATTCAGATTGACAAAAGATTGTGCTGTTTCAATGACAGATTGATGTGATGGTATTCATTCTTCTTCTTCTGGCATTAGGTTGGAAGCTCAGAGACAGGATGAGGCACGAAAGAGGGAGGAGGTACAATTACAGGAAGAGCGGCGGGCACAGGAGGAACACAGACGGCAGGAGGAAGAAAGGTTACGGGAGGATCAAAGACAGAAAGACGAAGCACGACAGAGGGAGGAACATAAACAGCACGAGGATACTCAACAATACAAAGTAGAAAACAAGTATGTTGTTCTTTTGTTAGGACATGTATCTCAGTGCTGCCTATCAATATATTAGACAATATACAGATGTAATCTCTTTGTTTTTCTGTTTGTCCTACAGTTACATATTCTACTTATAGTTACACATTAAAGATATATTATTATCATGAATCTTTAAAGCAAATTCTGTCCATGTATTTTTGCAATTTGACTTTTGTAAAATGTTAAGAATATGTTGAATTAATTTATGTATATATTTTTGATAGATATTCATTTTTCATGAAGTGACTATTTGTGCAATAGAAATAGGCGGAAGTCTAGCTTACTATTAAGACATTTTAATTATGTGAAATTACAAAGGACGTTTTGCCATTTCTACAATTGTTGATATGCTAATTCCATTTGAAGGTAAGAGATTGATTAGAAAAACTAATTTAGAAATTGATATCTGAAAGATGAAAAAGTTGGTAAGATTTGATGAAATTAAAGATACTAGAATCCAAACCAAAAGATTGATGAGGTGTGTATTATCAGTTACCTAGGCTGCGTGTGTACAGCATCGTGTTGCGATGAAGGACAAACACAAATCTGACTACTAAGTACCACTTGCTTTCCATGACTGCATGGCACAGTTACCTCCCCCTGATTTTTTTAATTTTTATTATTACAATCAATCTGATTGAAATCACCTACAAAACATGTACAGTATATTGAGTTTCAATTTCCTATATGTTATTGTAATTTGGATAAACAAAATTGCTTTTTGAACTCAAAAAGTGAAAGGGTTATAGAATTTTTAATATTATCTTAAAAATATAATATTTTGAACAGCAATGTCATTTTGTAGAAAATTAGAAATGATTTTTGTTTTCGTTCACACAAAGCAACGATATTAATTTTATGATGATATAGCTATAATATTTAGTTAATTTCTTCATCTACAAATAAGACATTAAAGAGCCAATGTAGTGAAACACTTTTGGATATTTATGAATGTGTGTAGCAAAGAAAATTCTCTTTGTTTAGGAATGATAGAAAGTATTTTATATTCCAAAGAAAGAAATGAATTTTATCTTAATGATAGGTCAATGTATGATCAAATTCTATATAATTTCATGTAAGTCAAATCGGTTTGATATGTGAATTTTTCTCTGTAGAGTTTTTTCCCAGTGAGTCTTAAGCTGATTTCTGTCAGATTGATATTATTTTAGAATGTCTTTATCCAATCATTGATTTTATTGCTGTGTCTACCACTGAGTTAACGGATTTTGTTCACTTTGGAACTGTTTTTCATATCTTATGCATCATTTTTGCAACTGATTTGTAAACTAACTGTAATGATTGCTAAAAGATGCAGTAACTAGTCCATGCTTGCTGAAATATTGCAGTCAAATATTAATGTCAAAGTGAAGTTTGAGAAATTTCATATTTCAAACTTAAAAGTTTTGATATGAAATTCTTTCCTCCAGTCTGTTCACCAACATCATATATGATAAGAATTTAAGTGATGTTTATTTTTTTCCAGTTTTGCTATTTTCATATGATTCTTTTGTAACTTCTTGAATATAATTCAGTTTATTTTATCAATGCTGTGATTACAATTCTTTCCTGTATAATTTATTTTGTTGAGACCTTGACAGTCCTGTTTTAGGATTTATATTAAATTGATTTTGATATCACTCCTAACACATTGGAATGTAACACACATAAAACGTTTGTATTTGTTTCATCTATGCAAGGAACTTGAAGCCACGCAGAAGCACTACCGATAATACGTTAAGGTACTTTGTACTAAATAGCGGATGGTTTGTTTACTTATACATCATGGTCTCTTGCCTTGTTTACTTTGGTTATCCTTGCTTATTTCCCCTTGCATGCTCACAGTGTCACCAACCACTAACCCACTTACCTGTCTAGGAAACAGATTTTATTTCATGTGTGTAAAACTTCTGGGTTAAGTTGTTAATGTGCAGTCCTATTTAATCAGATTTCAAGTCGACAGCGGCAGATTCAATATTATAAAGCATTTATATAGATTGTTCAAAATATCAAGTTGAACATAGTAGATTGATAACTTGATTAAAGAACAAATTCTGCATACCACAAGCATATTACATTTTCCGATGTGATTATGTTGCAGACATTTTCATTTGAAGACAATTTCATTCGATTTGTGGTTGTGACTTGGTGGTGATGTACTGAAAAAAGTATTTTAGAAACTTGAATTGAATTATCTCCCTTTGATTTTTTTTTCAGATGGACTCTCATGAATTATTTCAGACAGGCTCCCCGATAATAACAGAAGAAAAAAAAGAATGATTACTTAATTTCCCTTTTTACCTGTACATATAAAATAATTTCCTGCAAAAACCAAACTGTGCATATTGGGCATGCTATGATATCTATGCTTAAAATGAAATAGTTCTTATAGTCTCCCTTCTTATTGTTAGTCATTTATCTAAAACTAATCACACACACACAAAAAGACTGAGAAGACAATGCCAGGTGTTTCAGTGGTAAGTGTATTATGTAGAATAGGGAAATTAAGCAATGATACTACTGACCCTTAGCAGTATGTATGTGTCCCTTGTTACTCTGTTTTCCCAGTTACCATATGAACTCACTGCATTGTCCAGGTGCCTGTATACATTCTCATTGAATCTGGACCTATTGAAGCTTTTCTCAGTTACAATCCATACTTCAAGCCTGTCTGAAATGATCATGTGGAATGACTCCTATTTACTGTCTAAGGTCTTAACTGGCTGTTAAAGCATTTTGTTTTCAACAGCTTTGTGAAGCCTTACAAAAAAGAGTTCCTTTAATAATGTTAAAGGTGGGGGAGAGGTTTTAGATCTCCTGATAAAAACTGAATGTATAATTCCTGGTAAAAACATGGGGTTGAGGGGCAGTCTGAACTTGAAATCTAGTGATTAAAATGTTGAGGGGAGTTTAGACCTGATAAAAACTGAATGTAGAATTCCTGGTAAAAACATGGGGTTGAGGGGCAGTCTGAACTTGAGATCTAGTGATTAAAATGTTGAGGGGAGCTTAGACCTGATAAAAACTGAATGTAGAATTCCTGGTAAAAACATGGGGTTGAGGAGCAGTCTGAACTTGAGATCTAGTGATTAAAATGTTGAGGGAGGAGGACCCTGAAATATAGACCTAGTGTTAACAATATAGAGGAATAAGTCTAAACCTTTTGATAAGAAATGTGGTGATAAGTAGGGGGAATTTGCAATTTCTAGTCCTAGTGATAAAATCATTTGGGGTGATTAGGGGAGGGGGTGGTCCGGAATTTAGACCTCAGATAAATGTTTGGGATGATGAGGAGGGGAAATCTGAAGCATTAAAACCATTTCAAAGTACATATGTAGGATACAGTTATGTAAAAAAAAAAAAATGAAAAATTATCATCATTCAGAAAGGAACAATTAAGATTGGGGAAGTTGATATCAATTTAGAGCTTATATTGAAAACAGTTGCTTCCTATGTAAATGATTTTATTGTAAACAGAATTAACTTAAGAAATGCTGGCTTGTGCTTCTGCTTGAACCAAGAGTAAATGTGATGGATACCTGTACAGATTTGGTTGTCTGGTAGAAAATAATGGCTACACTATCTCAATAAATGATACATAACCATACATAATTGTAAATTACACATTGTTTATACAGCTAACCACACCTGTACATATAGCATTTAACAACAACTACTAACTGCTAACTCTGCATCTGCACGTGTAGCAAAGGAAATTTGGACTATTCCATCTTACCACTCCACCATCTACTGTGCCTCCTGGTGGTGATATGTTCTGCATGCTTGTCTCCCTTTGTTTGTTCCAGTTATGGGTACCTGCACAACACTTGGCATGCACCTGACCCTCAGACCGGTTACTCTGGGTACTCACCAACAGGTTTCTCGCCAAAGGGGTACTCTCCTACGGGGTACTCGTACGGGAATCGCTATGACAACAGTCCAACGGATACCTATAGCATGCATTATGGGTACGATCTGTGCTTGCTAACTCCAGCGGAGTAGATCAGTCAGGGTTTATTTTCCTTGGAGAAACAGTCTGCAACATTTCATTGCTGACCTCAAACTACTTATTGATGATTAGTGAAATCTGTAGAATAAACTAAGGAAATCAATTTCTATTTAATCTATTTTACAGAAAGTATTGTTCTTTATGTTGGCAAAAATGGATCATTATATGATATATATATATATATATATATAAATATATTTATACACATTTTTTTTTTTTGGTTTTGTTTCCTTTGTTTGTTTTGTATTTGTTTTATAATGTTGACTTTTGTTCCAAAAAAATAATAAAAATCTGTCTTAATCCCTCACCCCTACTAATACAGTAAAATTTTCCCTTGACTACAAACTTGGCTTTGAATTGGGTCTTGTGAGCTTACTGGTTGATGCTGTTTATGTGATAAGAATGTCGCTTCTGGCTTTCATTGGATACTTTAAAAGACGTTTCAGTGTTGCTACTGTTGAAACCTGCTGCGCAATGACTTGGAAATGTCAGCTTTTCTCAAAGGAACAGCTCCTTGTAAAATAAATGTAGTGACTGTTGCCAGTTTGCCTCTGATAGAAACTTGGTAGATTGTAGAATTGCTCGGAAAACACTGATGTCTGATTGCCGGAGTCTGGTATTTATTCAGTAGAATTTGCATGGGTGCCTTGGATCTTTTTAAAGAACTTTCAAAATTGTAATTGGTATTCTTGTATTTTCCTGGTAAAATTGATCTTTAAATGTTTTCATAGAAGGAATATACAAAAGTTTTAAGCATCAAAATCAGATATATATATCTTGATAAGTTTTTCTGATGCATTTGATAGCTGCTGAAAAAGTAAAAAAAAAATTACTTATTTTTCGTATAAATGTATCTAAATAATCAAGATTGTAAAGAAAAGTTTGTGTGTCTCGGTGATTACGATATTGAGAGAAAATTCAAAATTTCATCTGCTCTGTAAATACTTAGTAACACTTCCAGTTTTAAGTTCATTGAGCTTCGATTCATTCCAGTTGTTCACTTGTGTTAAATGATGTACCATTGTTCATGGGTGAAGGTACAGATTAAGACTATAATTGTCACATGGCATGGCACCTTGACATCACCGACCAATGTGTCACCATAACAACCACTAAGTGGTGTCTATAATTAGCACATTGTGTCTTGCAGAAAACCAGGCCTCACATCACAAAGTTTTAAAGAGGACCGGAAATCAACGTCTAGTAACTCCCATTACCGAAGAACAGCGTCTGACAGTACCCCTAAACACCCCCAGTCATCCATACCCCATAATACTGCTTCTGGTCGCTCAAATCCTGTTAAGAAGTAATTATATTTTGTTGTGTTTTTATTATTTACATCTTTGGTTTATGTTTGTTTGCTGCAATATCGTAAAAATGGTTTAACTGCAAAGGGAAAAACCACTGTCAGATAAAAGTCTAGAAAAAAAAAAAGAAAAAAATAACCAGGCACTATTCATATATAAAGGATATTGTTTAGATATAAGAATTTCAGATAATTGTCCTTAAAATGAGAACCTGTAGAATTTTACTTTTATAACAGTAATTATAGAGAATTTGTAGTATTGTGGCCATCCACCTTTGTTATATCTACTCTTTTGTCTCTACATGTATATGTATGTTATCCAAATTCAGAGAAAATCATGCCAACGGGTTATCAAATATCCAGAGGCAGTGTTTAATGGTTAAGGCCACAGTCATATGTAGAATACAGTTGTTTATATGGTGGCAGCACATACATGCTCACCTTCATGATGGAGAATAAATCAGTCAAAGGTCAAGGTCACTTCAGGTCATTGAATAAGGGAAGATTTTGATGTTATATATAACAGCATATATGGACTATAATAAAATGTAAGACACAAAGGTCAGGGAGTCATTGATTTCAGAAACGTTGATGAACTTGAAAAATTAGATCCAAAGTTAAATACAGATGTCTGCTACGACAGAATGCCCCACTTCTCAGTATCCTTGTTTATTTTCAAATCCAAATTATATTTGTACTGAATGAAAATAGTGAGTATCTTCACATTTTTTGCCCAGAGTTGAGTTTAGTGTCCTCCCAGCTGAAGAATTTGTCCCTGTTGTTGGATATTATGCCCTCAAAGTTAAATACAATGTATAGTGGCTGAATACTATGAAACATGATTTCGTAGTCGAAATTTATTGTCCCACGACATGTTACATCAACATGGCTGAATGTCATATCCTCATGGTTTGTTGTTGTTGAATATTATGCCTCAAGTAATCCTCATATATAAAGATAATGTACAGAACCTGTGGTTGGATACTATACCTCCATTGTAATGGGATATTATGACTTTATGTTCCAAAATCATGTCCCTATTGGTTGAAAATAATGTCCCCCATATTCCAATATCATGTCACATAGTTAAACATTGTATCCTGACACTGTGGTTGGATTTTAAGTCCCCCATATTCCAATATCATGTCACGTAGTTTAACATTGTATCCTGACACTGTGGTTGGATTTTAAGTCCCCCATATTCCAATATCATGTCCCATAGTTTAATGTCATATCCTGACGCTGTGGTTGGATTTTAAGTCCCCCATATTCCAATATCATGTCACGTAGTTTAACATTGTATCCTGACACTGTGGTTGGATTTTAAGTCCCCCATATTCCAATATCATGTCCCGTAGTTAAATTTCATATCCTGACACTGTGGTTGGATTATTTATGAATTTATTTAATTAAACAGGGTTTACATCCACTATTACAGCAGACAATTGTGGTTGGATATTAAGTCTCCCATATTCCAATATCATATGGTTGGATATTCTGTCCCCATAATCCAATATCAATATGAGCCAAAAAGATAAGATTTCAAAAGTATTTTCTTTTAAAATATGGGAAATCAAAGAGAAAAATAGTAGTATTTATATAAAATAGGGTAATTTCATAAGAATCAGAAGGGAAAATTTTGTAAGAGAGGAATATTAGCAGCTAGGGGAAATTACTGAATGCTGGTAGTAAAATGATCCAAGATTGATCCCTGGTCCATATTACAAAATCATGTTCCCATAGTTAAATATTATATGCAGACACTGTGGTTCAATAATATGTCCCCATATTTCAATATCATTTTGTATTATATCTCAAATGCATATTGTAAAAAACCAACGTATTGGTGTTTCTAATTTCACTGATTGGTTGATTTTGGTTTAGTTTATTATTATTTTTTATAGAATCTAATACACTGTCACAAATCCAGTAATATTCACAAACTAATGTAACTGTGTTGTTTATATTGCATTAAAAAATAATGTGACCTGTCTAAGTCAACACTTGAGTATACTGACAACCTGTCTGAATAAGTGTCTGGCTGTAATTCCATATCTGATGAAGCGTTTTTAGTAAGACCTATGTAATCTCGCGCCCTGTCTAATCTGGCTTATGTTATGTGTTCAACAGAGTCAGATTAGACAAATATTGCTATACAATGAAACATGGCCATTACCTTATGTCAGAGATTCTATTTGAGACAATACCTTGATGGATTGAAACAAAATTTTTTTCCAAAATTTAAAAATGATATTTCAAATACCAATAAAAAGCTGAACCTTGGTGGATTCCAACATGCTTCATTGTATATTAACAAATTCAGATTTGTTTCCTGTGGTGAATTTTAAATTGTATCTGTGACTTCTGACCTGCAGTGGTCCCTCCAATCCAAGAAGTCCCGCTGGGTCATCATCAACGTCACTTGTTTCACCAAGTCCTAGTCCCCGATCATCCATTGGATCTGCTGGACCAAGTCCAGCATCGTCAACGTCGTCAGTAAACAAAGCTGGCGAACAAAAACAGAATCCAAGTTTAGTGACAAGACGTGGAAAAATATCAGAGCGTGTAGCTACATCAGCAAATTCAGCAAAGGGTTCCGCAGGTGTAGAGCGTCATGGGCGGGCCACGACAGCATCCACGACAAGTACTGTTAATCGTCAAACAGCTATGTCAAAAACGCTGCCAACTACAACATCAACAAACAGTGCGAGGAAAAATCATTTAACTCCTGTAAGTGTTATACCTAGTGTGAGTTAGTTATATATAGGGTATGAGTTTGAGTTAAGGTAACCTTTTTAAATCTTTTACGGTGAAGTGATGAAGCCTTATAAAACAACACAAAGGATAGTATATAAGTTGAGTTATTACTTTATATTTCAGTATTTCTTTTCTCTCAGCAAGAGAGAGAAGTATGTATGTACATGTAGGTCTCTAATTGTTTATAAACAAATACAATATGTTGTTTTAAAACGATGTTGAGTTCTAACACAGTGTAAACATTCCAGATTTTATATCATATCAACACAAGTGAAAACACAAGATTGATATAAATATAAGTATTTATATGGTATTTAATTTGTTCATGTTATGTATTATTGGATGATTGAATTAAGATTTTGTATAAAATCACATTTGTTGGTTCAGGCTGTACATGAAATGTGCAATACTGTTTTTGTTATTACAAATTTAAATTTTGAAATCAAAGTCCCATATCAATATTCTTCCAATATCATTTGGAAATATATCATGTCTGATCAACAGGAGGAAGAGTTCCGGCAGAAACACCAGGCCCTGAAAACTTCTCAACACCAAGAGGCACAGCGAGCCAAGTCACGAGTGGAAGACCCGAACAAACTGCGGCAAACTCAGAGAGAGGCTGTCAACAACTTTGTATCTAAGGTAACTTTAGAATCTTGTTTGTTATTGATCTTCAATAGTTCTTTCTTAATTCTTAGATTGTCAGCAAAAATATTGCCAGCTTGTAAAATTTTGTAAAGGATGTCTGGAGATTTTTGCTTTACTACATAGCTATTTATATGATTCCTCCAAAATGGCCAATGTTTTTTCAGATCATATTCTGATGTTCGGAAGATAGAATCATTGACAAGGAGAGATCAGTATTCAAGTTTCTAGAAAAAATAATAATACATGTGATAATATGTAAAAAGCAGGTTCTTTAATAACCATTTTATGTATTTCATTCCTTATTCTTTCTTTAACTGTTTTAATTCTTGAATCAGATTTCTCTACTCTTGATGATATATTTTATATAGATTATCTGTATCACACAAAATTATTAATCAACAAATGTTTGGATTATAGAGACAAAGCAGTACATCCTCTGATGAAGACAAGAAGAAAATCCTTGCTCCTCGCACCACTTATTCCTCAATGTCTGCTAAACGCCAGGGAGGAGGTAAATAACTTGTCTGAATAGACCAATTACCTAGTTTAAGTCAGCTATAATTACCTGATGGACCAAGGAGTCCTAGATATATGTAGAATTACTCCAGTAATCAAAGCATGTTAGACATGTGTAGAATAACTCGAGGGACGGAGAAGTGGAAGATATGTTTAAAATTACCCGAAGGACAGAAAAGTGATAGCTGTACGTAGAGGGGCCAAGAAGTTGTAGATATGCGTATAATTACCGAAGGGAAGGTTAAGTAGTAGATATAGGTAGAATTCTGGTAGGAACAAAGGCTCTGTAGATGTGTGTAGAATTACCTAAGGGAAGGTTAAGTAGTAGATATAGGTAGAATTACTGTAGGAACAAAGGCTCTGTAGATGTGTGTAGAATTAAGGCTCTGTAGATGTGTGTAGAATTACCTAAGGGAAGATTAAGTAGTAGATATAGGTAGAATTACTGTAGAAACAAAGGCTCTGTAGATATATGTAGATTTACCAAAAGGAGGGGTAAATTATTACATATAATGCGTAGACTTAACTGGAGACAGAGAAGCAATATTTGAGTAGACTACTTAAGGGACGGAAAAGTCATAGCTATCAGTCAGTGCTATCAGTGCTTTCTATTGACCCTCAACGTTTTGCTATCTCAAAAAGTTTGAATACAAATTTTGGACAGTGAAAACATATATGATAGATAATTTCAATCAAACTCAAAAGTCAAAACTCATTTTCTGGAGTCAAGAACATACTCTCAAGGGTTTACTGAATACTCTGGTAATTGGAATGCAGTTTTTGTACTGAATGAACATGTATCATAAGTAATTGTGTTGGTAACTTACAATTAATGATCCATTGTCTATACAAGATATTCTGTAGGTGGATTGATAGTTACAAAGTGAAGTGATAGAAAATCACAAACTTCTAACTGGCTGTTGATACAAACATCCAATCACAGTGACACTATTTATTTGTCTTTAGTGATGTCCAGTAGCACGATGAAGGTAATAGACAGTTACAAAGATGCTGATCCAAATTTTACCATCCGGCGACAGATGGAACAGCAGAGGGAGGAGGTGGAAACCATGGAGAGCTTACGACGAGTCAGTTTGATATTTAATGTAGAATGTTTACAATGTGTCAGTGTGATGTTTACTGTAGAATGTTTACAATGTGTCCATGTGATGTTTACTGTAGAATGTTTACACTGTGTCAGTGTGATGTTTACTGTAGAATATTTACAATGTGTCAGTGTGATGTTTACTGTAGAATGTTTACAAGGAGTCAGTGTGATGTTTACTGTAGAACGTTTACAAGGAGTCAGTGTGATGTTTACTGTAGAATGTTTACAATGTGTCAGTGTGATGTTTACTGTAGAATGTTTACAAGGAGTCAGTGTGATGTTTACTGCAGAATGTTTACAATGTGTCCATGTGATGTTTACTGTAGAATGTTTACACTGTGTCAGTGTGATGTTTACTGTAGAATATTTACAATGTGTCAGTGTGATGTTTACTGTAGAATGTTTACAAGGAGTCAGTGTGATGTTTACTGTAGAACGTTTACAAGGAGTCAGTGTGATGTTTACTGTAGAATGTTTACAATGTGTCAGTGTGATGTTTACTGTAGAATGTTTACAAGGAGTCAGTGTGATGTTTACTGCAGAATGTTTACAAGGAGTCAGTGTGATGTTTACTGTAGAATGTTTACAATGTGTCAGTGTGATGTTTACTGTAGAATGTTTACAATGTGTCAGTGTGATGTTTACTGTAGAATGTTTACAAGGAGTCAGTGTGATGTTTACTGTAGATTGTTTACAAGGAGTCCGTGTGATATTTACTGTAGAATGTTTACAACAAGACAGTGAAGCATTTACTGTAGAATGTTTACAAGGAGTGAGTGTGATGTTTTCTGTAGAATGTTTACAGTCTACAGTGAAGCATTTACTGTAGAATGTTTATGATGAGTGTGTGATGTTTACTTTAGAATGTAAACATGATGTTTACTGTAGAATATTTACGAGTCAGTATGATATTTACTGTAGAATGTCTATGACAAGTCAGTATGATATTTACTGTAGAATGTCTATGACAAGTCAGTATGATATTTACTGTAGAATGTCTATGACAAGTCAGTATGATATTTACTGTAGAATGTCTAGGACAAGTCAGTATGATATTTACTGTAGAATGTCTATGACAAGTCAGTATGATATTTACTGTAGAATGTCTAGGACAAGTCAGTATGATATTTACTGTAGAATGTCTAGGACAAGTCAGTATGATATTTACTGTAGAATGTCTAGGACAAGTCAGTATGATATTTACTGTAGAATGTCTATGACAAGTCAATGTGATATTTACTGAATATGCCATGGAAGAAAAGTTTTATTTTGTAAAGATTTTAGTATGCCAATAGATGAGCAGATAATTCATTAAAAAGGTCTATTTGTTGTTGAAATTTGATGATTAATGATGCAGAGTTTATTTAACTTAGTAGACTGAATGATAAAAATATAGAAATTCAATAGTTTTCAAGCAAAAAATTAATTTCTCAATATCATTGTTAACCTATCTGTTTATTCTGCAGACAATTGAGACTAAGTTAAAGGTGACACTACCAGAAAATGTTCAAGATGTACTGCGGGATGGTGTGCTACTATGTCAGTTGGCCAACAGTATACGACCGCGTTCTGTCACCAGCATACACGTTCCCTCACCAGCTGTGGTAAGTTTTTCTTGTGATATGTGATGGTAATCCACTGTCTACATTTATTATGCTCATCTTCCACCTGGTGTTATCACCAGTCATGCAAACCATCAAGAGTTATCTAGTAATGTTTTCTCGACAATATGAAACCCTGTTAATACCATCATTTTCTCCATATTGCTCACTGGCAACTATTTTGTAATCCAGAAGTGTTGTCATTGTTTACATGTTTTTTTTTTTGGTTGGCCGTGTCAGTAACAAAAACTGTTATAAGGGGCTAACATACTTCTCTCCAAATCTTCTACATTAGCTTTATTTGCAAATTGTTCAGCAGTGACCTATGACCTTCAGTTTTGACCATGGACCACAGAAAATCTATTCAGGTGTAGACCATAGTGCTGTGATGCTTTGGTGTGGATTTGAAGTAATTCTGTCTAGGGGTATATACCTCTTGATCCAGGGATGGGGGTTTATCTATGTATGCATCTGTTATCTTTGTTTTTATTGTAACAATATAAATATCAGTCATTTTGTAATTAAAACATCATACAAAATCAGGATTTTACATAAATCTAATCGAAAGATGGAAATCAAAGAATACATAGCTAACCATCTAAGGCATCCCAAGTTGTAAAAAATTTATACTTTTAAAACTCTTTGAAGTTTTTATCTAAAAATGTGAATTTTCAGCAATAAACTATCACTGAAAATATTCCTTTATACGACTACCTTATCTCTGTCCATGTCCCTCAAAGTAAACAGCATCCTTTTGATATAACAGCCATCAGTGGAGTTTTATTTGTACATAAATGTGTGATTGATTTATAAGACTGATGGTGCTTTTAAAGCTGCTTGAACCGTGTCAAATCTTGCCATGAAAAACAGTTCTCTGCAGATTGTATTTGATAATGTCACTGGAATAAATATTGGATGTATTACATTTCTAGTTCTGATTCTAGACCTCTCACAAACTATGTCTAACGATCTAAAAATGGTAATTCCCTTGAATGTTCTGGGGTTTTTTTTGCTCATTTTCTCTCCACAAGATAACTGAATATTGACTGTCCTTTCAGCCAAAACTGACCATGGCAAAATGTCGAAAAAATGTGGAAAACTTTTTGGAGGCTTGTCGAAAAATTGGAGTAAACAGGGTAAGTACAGATAAATGATAATGGTTAAGTCATTAGGCTTGTCACTTGATACTGTTGCACTACAGCAAATCAGCAACATTACACAGGGATAAATGATCTAAATCAGGTGGCCATACAAATATGATAGAATCATGAATCTTTTTATGTGATTGTAACTTATCTTCATTCATCAGCTATAATTTCAGCTGATGAAAAATTCTCTAATGAAGCATTTTTCTAGACATTGTTTATCTGTTGATGTCAAACATGTCAAGATATTACTGGTGAAGTGTGTAGATGTTAAAAAACCTTGGTATGGGTGAAGGGAGATAACTCTTGTTTTTGTTATTTTGAACATTTTTCTAGTGTTTTGTTTGTTATTTGTGATTTTATTGTTCAGTTTGAAATTTCTTCATGATTTAAACATGAAACTTTCTTTTTTCTGTTTTTAAAAATCTTATTTGTTGTAGTCTATTGATTTTTTTTCCTGTATGCTGTAACCAGATTGATTTCTTTGTGAAAATACATCTTAGATGGATTCCTTTATCCTACATTTTGTCATGGTTCAGTCTGTAGTAATTTTGTTAGTTGTACGGAGCATGAAATAGGGAGGTGATCATTCCTTTTAGTTCTGGTGTAACTTACAATCCAGGTAATTTATGATAAATCAGACTAAAATGATCATTAATTGAAATGCTGAAAATGTTTTTAATAATGATATGCTATTTTTTAAACATGGACACTTATTAGATATGATATTTCATGATCTAAGGTTGTTTTTGAAGTGTATCAAAGTCTCTGTAAACTTTTCATGTAAAATTAAAATGATGAACTAAAAGAAATTGTACCAAATCTGAATTCTGTGAATAAGTTATGATAAAATTTTCAAAGCCACACAATATTATTGAGTTTTTGCGGAAATGTTCATCATTTTTCTCTTACTGTAATCCATTATTTTTTATGAAGTTTTTAAATCAGTTTTTAATGGAAAATATGTGGTCTCTTTTTATCAATATCTTTAATTATAAAAGAAGTAAAGAAGCTCCCTTATTGATACCCATTTACTATAAGTGGGTAAGCTAAACATGTCAAGCTTTTTGTGTTCCCTAAATGGAGAGCATAAAGTCGCCACTTTGTCCGTCAGTCCATCATAATTTTGTCTGGAGCATTACACTATAACTACAAGAGGTATCAACATAAAACTTCAGATAGATATCGGCAAGCAAAAGTGCATTGCACAAGAACCATCACTCTCCCTTTTTTGCATAATTTAGGAGTTTTTGCCCTTTGTTATTTTGCATAGTTAAATTTTGTCCAGAGAATTACTCTGAAACTATAAGAGGTATTAACAGGAAACTTCATAGATAGATAGATCTCAATGAAGAGGAGGGCAATGCACAAGAATTATAACTCTCTTCTTGCCCTTTGTTATTTTTCATACTTCAAATTTGTCCCAACAAGGTCGCATAACCCATCTCTGATGACTCTTGTGTTTCTTAAATATTTTTTATATCAAATGTATATCAATGTACTCAATTTTTTTTAATTGAAAACTTCTGATTTTAAACGATATTGATAAGTAATTAAAATCCTTTTAGCTTTTTCAGTGTGTTGACCAGGAAATATAAAATTCAAGCTTTTATTGTAATGAAATATCTTAAGCAACAGACTAACATAATGTTTGATATAGTATTCAAAAGTTACTAAAGTTTTATGTTGTTAAAAATAATGGGTATGTTTACCACTACACGAGGTGTCGGGTGTAGTTCACTGTATGTTTTTATTCTGTTATTCTGTATTTTTTTATTTGTTGTTCAATTATGTTCCTATCTAAACAAACCTGCAATCATTTTGAAGGAAGATTTCGCAGGAAAGTAGGGACGTTTGAAGAATTGTGTATATATCCACTTCGCGAGGATGATATTTCTACGACTCAAGAGAGAGCTGAATCATGAAACAGACCTGGATTCAAAGAAGATTTCTCCTCACCTGAAAAATATTTGTCTTTTTGTCAATTTATGAATTTGTATCCATTTTCAGTGTAAACCTTTCAGTTACACATTCAAAATTTATATGCTTTGCATATTTTCAATCATGAAATTAATTCCAAAAGCATCTTTTATTACAGTCATTGGAAAAAGAAGTAAATTTATCATTTTCTAAGACTAGGTGCAAATGAATTAGCACAAAATGATTTTTGAACAGTCAAGAGGAACTGGAAAGGTTTACAGTGATGTGTAAATAATTTTTAGATGGGGACATAAATTCAACATTTCTGTTTTGCATTTCTTTTGCAGCTAGTTGTTGCACAGTTATTTCCCTTGTATGAGTTCTTCTCAGACAGTAGTTATCTCCCTTGTATGAGTTGTCTAATGTTACTGCATGCTTTTGACAGACATATCTCTGCATGTGTTTACTGAACATGTTCCTAAAATCATAAGTGTCCTGAATTTCATGTCTGTCTACATGAAAAAGCTAACAAATTAATACTTTGTGGTTAGAACTTAACATATACATGAAGATGTAATAGCATGAAGGTAATTCTTAACATTGCATGGAAGATACTAACAGAATTCACAAATACTTAAATCATGGGTGATATGTACATCTTCAAATGTTCAAAGAATAAAATGGAAGGATTGGCAGAAATAAAAATGGGCCAAAAAATTTCACGAATAAAGATCATAAAAAAAAAAATGTTGTCATTGATTCCATTGATTTTCTGAAAAAAAAGATAAGATTTTTAGATGATTTTAAAAGTCCCACTGACCTGCAGCTAAGATATAGAGTGTTTCATAAATCTCTGTATGCAGCAAAAATGCATAAATGATTCAGGGGAGAAAGGGGGTTGGAAGAAAATTTTCGTCAAGAAATCACATAGCCAGCAGAATTAAATACAATGAACAAAGACTAAACAATGTTTGAGCAGTAGCTAACAGAGTGTTGAATGTTTGCTTTCGTTACAGGAACATCTTTGTGCATGTGAGGACGTCATTGAGGGATTGCGGCCAGCACTTGTCGCTTTAACTGTGCAACAACTAGTATCGTTTCCAAGACTAACGCCCCTCGACTATTACGTGTCTTACTTTTGTTTGACTGTGTTTGTCGCTACATGTTCTTTCTTGTTGATATACCCCATCCCCTGATTGGAAAGCTGTGTTTTTGGATGGATTGGATATTTATTTCATCCTTGTTTTCTTGAGCTGGATTATTATACAGATGACTGTAATATGTGACTGTGTTAACACTTTAACATGCATTTTGATACCAAGAGCTTTCTGTGTTAAACTTGTCCTGCTGTCATACTTGACATGACAATTCCTGTTTTTTTGCACACAATTTGTGATTGAACGACTGACTGGTGCCAGAGAAATATTTCCAGACAAAAAACCTTATTAAAATCATGACTTTTAAGTACAAAACCTCTAACCAGCATAACTTTGTTTCCTTAATTCTTTTTCTGCATTTTTCATGGTGACAATTTCTCTTAACAACATGCACAAAGAGAACACTGCACATAATTTTTATTAAGCCTAAAAGCTCTAAATTTTAAAAAAAATTGGCCATATTGTGAAGCATATTTAATATCTTATAGTTTGCTGTACTTACAAAACTAATATGTGCACTATATGTTGTTGTAATTCACATTGTTAAGTTTGGTTTGTTTTGTTATCAGAGAGAGACTAAGTACATGCATCCCGGTGGTAGTATTAGTTGTGTAAGAGGACTAAGTCTTTGTCTACATCTTGTTGTTTATAATAATTTATTTTTATATTTTCTTTTATAACTTTTATCAGATTTACTTACTGGTACATCATTATTAGGTTGTTTTGATTTGTAAAGAAAAGGATGGTTCAAACTAATTATCCAATCAGTTTGAAAGTTCTTGGCAATTTTTATATGTCTGATATCGTCAATATGGCATACCAAGGTATACTAAGAGCAACATCAAAGATAATGTAGGTTGTTATAATGGGGTGTTTTTTTCCACTGTGGTCAGAATTTTTTAAAAATGAAGTATATTTAAGTTAGATGTGTTTTGATTCAAAGTTTTTTCTAGGATTAAAGGGATATTCTTCACAAGTTCGGATTTCATTTGATGTTTTTTGAAAGAAACTACAAAATCAGCTGCTTATGTTCTTACAGAAATTGTACACCTCAATTTATCATTTAAACAGTGACATCATATTAGATCTGCAGAAATTCTTTATAGATCTACCTAGATCAATTTACAAATGTTCGCATGTGGCCCTGGTTGCATCTTAACAAATTTGTGTTGCAGAATGAAATATTTGAGTAAATTGTAAAATCAACAGCAAGTAAGCCTAATTAAGTAATAGAACTGTAACCCCAGCAGAAAATTTAGTGAACAGCATACACACATGTGTATTTACCCAATACTCAGCATAAAATCAATATGATCCAGAGACCTTTAAGTTCTGATTTTTCCATATGTGCTGTATTTTAGACGGTTTGGCTGGGAGTAGTTTCACCTATTTCATCAGTCCAAACTGACGACAGGAGTGATATTTTGATGCTAATATTAGTTTTAAAAGTCATTGCAATGAGATCTTATAAGGTAGAGAAGCTAGAAATCGTTGAGCTTTGGCAGAATATCCCTTTAATATTCAGCTTTTACTGCTTTATCTATATAAACTGAGTGTTCATTGTATCAGAATCTCACCATCACCTGGCCAAAGAGTCTGTATTACAGGTAAGTTCTGGCCTCCAATATTGTATTTTGCTTTATTTACACAACCATTGTAATCAGTTACACACTTGCGTATTTACCCAGGGGATCACAGTTGTATGGCGTCATGCATTCATAAACAATTTAACATTTTCTACTTCTTCTCAAAAACGACTGAACCAATTTCAATGAAATTTTGCAGAAACCTTCCCTGGCCTAAGATGAACCAAAATTATTTATTGTACAGTCCCCACCCCACAGTGGCCTGGGGGCAGGGCGTAATTTGGTCAAATTAATCTAAATTTCAAAAAATCTTCTTCTCAACACCCAG